AGATTTAGAAAATCAACAGGTTATTGAAATTAAAGATAATAATTTTGATGGAAATAATGGATTAGAGAAAGACGTAACAAATGAATTAGAGAAAGATGCAACAAATGAATTAGAGAAAGACGTAACAAATGATGACACATCATCAAACATTCTAAACATTCCATTTATTTCACGAAGAAAAAAATCTTTTGATATAGAACATTCTAATATTACACCGGGTAGCGTCTCGCCGTCAAGTCTAAGTATTCAAAAGAAAAAGTCCCGTTCATCAAAAGGATCATTTGATTCGAACATTGTAAAACAAGAATCTGAATTACCCTCAACTTCTAAAGAAGTAATAATATTGGAATCTGATGATGATAATGTTAGTTCAATATGTACAATGTTTAAAAATAAACTACCGACTGTTTATTCTGTGTTCATAAGATTACCGGGAAATTTGTTGCCATTTGCGTTAGGGATGTTTATTCTAGTCGAAGGTAAAAAAAATATATATATCATTGTAATTGATATTATTCATTCTATTCATCTTAAATCTTTCTAATTCCTTATATGTCTTTTTTTTTATAAAGCATTATCATCGTTGGGCTGGATTTCCATATTCGCAAGTGCAATATCGACTATAACGCCCACATATCCAGTTGCTGTCATCTCTATTGCTTTTATATCAATCGTTCTCTGCAACTTGTTAAACAATTTGCCAATGACTGTATTACTAAGTAAAATATTGCAAGATGATAGTTTTACAGCAGCTCCGCATGTAACACCTGCAATAAGACAAGGATGCATATACTCGTTAATTATCGGAAGTAATATAGGTGCTTGTCTTACAATTGTAGGTGCTTTGGCTGGATTAATGTAAGTTTGTACTAAAAGAAATAAGAAAATACGTTGAAATTCTGAAAACGTTAAATAGTATTTGTAACTAACTTTATTTCTTTAAACAGGTGGGATAAAATATTAAAAGACAAAGGTGAAAAAATTGGGTATTGGCAATTTGTGAAATGGAACCTTGGAGTTTTACCGGTAATTGCTGTTGGTGCTTGTGGGACTTTAATGATGGAGCTTTGGATTTATTATGATAAATGGAATATGACTTATTAAATTTGATATGTTGATATAAAAACATTCGAGTCGTTTAGTTCTGCCAACAAAATAATGTATATTAATATTAGTCTTTTGCGTGATTTTAGGATTTAAGGACTATGTTTGGTTAATAGAATTATATAATAATATGCCATATTGTTGCGAAATAACGCGCAGGGGTGAAATTACGAATTTCGGCCTAAATTAAGCTTAATTCAGGCCATTATTCTAAATAACGCCCATGCTCGTTCTTTCGCGACAATATGGTAAATGTAATATGGTTTTTAAATAATTGTCTTATTTGTCAAAATAGATAATTTTATACAATGACGCATATTTTGTCCCTCATCGAGGAGGTTGTAAAAGCAATGAACTACAATAAAATACAATACAATGAATAAAATTTCGGGTATTCTGCCTCTGATAGTCCCGCCATAATGCAGAATTCGAAAGCATCGATAAATATGCCATAAACTCATTAATTGCGAACCAAATTCTTAAATGTCGCATTTCGAAGTTTTATTCTCTTTTTCCATTTGTTACGCTCCAATTACTAACACTACCTACCCGAGCGTAATGCGACATACAATTTTTGTTCTCTTTTTCCATTTGTTACGCCCAAAACTTGGAGTTGACTGTCGTCCGACAGGCCAACCCCGACATAAATAAACAACAATACAATCTTTGTGACTGTCGTCCCGACAGACCACCTACTAAAAAACTCAATATTTGACTGTCGTCCGACAGGCCAAATCCGGACGTAAACTGAATAAAAAGATAAATCTCAGTGACTGTCCCGACAGCCCACCTACTAAAACCCCAAGATTCGACTGTCGACCGATAGGCCGAACCCTTCTGACATCCACTAAGCAATGGCTATTTTCTTATTACGCCCTGTCATGCAACGGCACCTACCCGAGCGACTAATTACGAACTGCTCTACATAAGACCCAAGAATCTCAAATTAAACTATCATGGATAAGCTCAAACTGGTAAATGAACAAAAGAAATAAAGAAACCTTAATACGCTCAAAACGACAAACTTCACGTAGCTGTCGTCCCGACAGGCTACTCATAGAATACATCCCAAATATCGCACTACAAATGCACCCTACGAGGGGTGGGAGAGGGCGGGGCGGGACGAAAAAACCAAAGTCGGGTTAGCAGAAAAACAGAAATTACCTTGTCTGGGAAAAACCCGTCCCCTCTAAATATGCCCTATCGATTACAAATCGAAAAACTTACGTAATTACGTCGTTACTCTAATAACGTAATTACGTCGCTACTATAACTAACTCTAACGATCACAGATCGAAAAAATTACGCAATTAATTATACCGATACTCCCACGATTACTAATCGAAAATACTACACAATACAACACATATGCGCATTATTTCGAACTCATTTGACTTAAAAAATAACGCCAAAATAATGCCCTCCCTTAAATATACATATTAATTAATAAAAGCGGGGTTGTCAAAAATGATTCTACGAATTACCGCGTATCTGCGTCCCGAAATAACGCGAAGGATCTCAAAATAGCGCGTTATTACGCGCAAATACGGTAGCTTTTTGTTAGAAGTTTGACGAAAGCTTACTAATGAAAACCCCTTATTACAATTATTGTTATGCTTAATATTTAGCAAGACTAAACTTTTATAGATTATTTTCTATCATATATTCTTATTTATGTATATAGTTAATTCAAATTTTACCTCATCTTAATTATGGTGAATGGTTAAAACTTAAAGTTTGAAATCATTTATCGTTCATATGTTAAAACTCATTAAATATATTATGCGATCCTAATACAGTATTATAAAATTAATTGCCTGTCGCGAGTGTCCTATACATTTTTTTACCAATCATTTTGTTCATGTGCAAATTTAAGTCTCATGACTATTGGAGAAGAGACAGAATGGATTGTATTCGATGGAAATTCTGCAATTACGACATATTACCATCGGTTATGACTGTGCGATAGAGACTGGACTCGTATTAACTCGTGACTCGTGAATTAAACACCGAAGAGTGTTTGAATCATTCGATTAATTCGAATAACGACAATGAATTTATTGAAAGTTTTGTAAATTGAGTTACAAAATCAAATATACTTCAAATAGAGAATCACGCAAAGCAAATATAATTCAAATTACATGTTATATAAAAGTAATTATTACAAATTACAAGCATGAAAGCAATTAGCATATTAATTATTCGTCAATGAATAAATTTCGAATAGTTACATGACAACGAATTATCACAAATTACAAGTTATGAAAGAAAATTATTCAAATGGAAATAGTGTATAGCAAATCCATATTTCTTTGAATGCATGAGTAGTTGTGTTTTGACTACTTCCTTCATTACAGGATTCCTCTCGTTTATTAGTGCTTTTGTTTACGCCATGTTTGGATGAAATTGTTTTAAAATCTCTTAAATTTCTTTATTTTTATTAAAAATTTGCAATTGCAATAAATTACTGTATGTAGTTTATTTGATATATCCCTAGTGTGGCAAGGAACCTATTTTTGGCAAATGTCGAAAGACGAAACCAGGCGAAACTCTGACGAAATCCTGGTAAAGTAAGCCAAAACTCGGCGAAGATCAAATCCTCTAAGACTTTAGAAAAGATTGAGCCATGTTAGTAAATCAAAAATGTTAGTAAATCAAAATGTTAGTAAATCAAAATGTTAGTAAATCAAAATGTTTTGCATGTGACTATTAAGCACAGCATGTGTCTTCTTTAAAAATGTACAAAAGCAATAAACAAAGTGATAACCTTTCTTTTGTATTCAAGTACTATTAAAGAAAACTAGATTTCCGGTTTTTGGAACTTCGAAGTAAATTCAGCCTTAAAAATTCAAAGCCTAAAATCTTGTTTTTGTTTTTTTTTTTTTAGTAGCGCTTATCTATGTATTAATATTATTTATGTAAAATAAGCCTATCTAAATATTTATTGTTAGGTTGTTGAGAGTTTTTTCTTTTTAATATTTCATTGTTATTAAATACTATACATATGTATGTAAGTAGTTCGTTAACACTAATATTACTGCAATTATTTCCCGATGCTCTAATTTATCTAGCTCTAAATCTTAAGGATATTAATTTGCAAATCCTGTAATGTGTAAACCCAACAAACTTACATATTAAGCGCGTATCCTAAAATTAGGTAAGGGCAGGCTTGGGATGGGATGGGGGTTAATTTATGCCAAAATTTCGCAAGAAATTTTTTTATTAGTATTGAATAAGAGAAATTTTTGTGTTATAAACAGGTCTTTAAAGCAATAATTTTACGTTACAACTGATATTGTAACCTGATTGGCTTTCTATATATCCGTGTATTTACAAGAATATATATAGTGTACAAATAGAAATTGCCTATAATAAAATAAAATTACCAATTATTAAAAATTTTTTATTGTAAAAAATATATATATTGTAACAAATCTATCATATTATACCGGTGTTACACCTGAACTACACCTCTTTATCGTAGTTCAAGGAATGTGCAGGTTATAGTAAGAAGACTATGACCTTGGGATTTGGTTAGATAATGGCGTCGGATATACGACTTAACAAAAAGGTTTTACTAGGCTTTATCGAAAGAGGCGAAGCAACTAATGTATATGAAGATACAATAGTTGTAATAATTAGGTGATATAATATTTATTTAATAAATATCATTCGTGAAGTGTCTTCACGATAGTCACGTGATCAAGTCCGTTATGTCACTTAACGGTTGGGTTTTAACTTAATGTGTATAAGGACATGGTGAACTTTATTAGTATTCGAGTGGAAAGTACTAAACACTAACTGCCTACTCACTCTTGGGAGAATAATAGGGCTATTTATACATGTTTGAGCAGACTATGACATACAACACTTTGGACTTTAACATCTGATAGTAACCTTATCTATCACTAATCTAAGGATTTCAATGTGAAAGTAAATGAGAATCTACAATAGAGCAACAACACGATGTAACATGAGATTACTCATATGAGATCTAAGAGATCTTTGATCGATCCTTGAATATCTTCACGTTGTGTTCAAAACCAAGGGATCGATAGCTACAGGTACTCATAAGATCAGGTGACAAAAATCCTATGTAACAATTTCTCCCCCGCTTAATTATGAGCTCCTGCGAATAAGTAATTATGATAACAATTATTAATTTGCTAGATTCTATATGTTCTATTTATCATAATCAGTGTTAATGATTGACTCTATTAAGGTGGTTGAATATAGTAACGATACAAATATAAAAAGGATAGGTAAGAAAGAGAATGCAGAAATTTGATACGGCTGAAGAGTTGAAGTATGATGATTAATTAGGGTAATAATGATTAATATAATAGGATCTAATCCTCTTGAAAATTCTAAGGTAATATGCATCAGTATATTATTTATAAGTTACGGGTTTTTAATAAAAACAGTTCCATTAAATCGTATATTTGCGCAATTGTCCAATAATTTCCTTAGAATTCTTGGATGTTTCTCATTTAACTGTCGATTATTTAATTGAATAAGAGCCTTATACAATTTTTTAAATGGTAATGGCAAGTTATTATCAAAAGCAAGTAAAATGAGATCCATGCTTTCGATCATATGTTTGACTCTAGAAGGAGTTATTCCACGTTTAAATAATTCGTAAATTCTTTTAAATTCTTCAATTTGCAGAAGAAATTGTTGTGCTGATAACTTATAAGAAGTTGAATATAATTTATTCTTGGTTATATCAAGGTTCATATATTCACAATAGTCATCTTGTTTTCCAATAGTATCACGTAATGATGACGAGATATCTGTCCTCTGGTGAGTTTTACTATTACTTCGCTTAATTTTTAACTTTGATTCTTGAACTAATGTTTTGTTTTTAGGCCTCTTGTTCTGATGGAAGATCTCTGGGATAGACTTATTACGATTTCTACTCATATTAGTTAGGTTAATCTTTGATCTTTTATTTTGTTTCATATTACTAATTATAATTCCTTCTAGGTCACTTCCTTCTGTGATTGTCAAGAGATAACCTTCACTTTTGTCATTTTCAGTTACGAGATCTGCTATACTATCTTTGAAATTCTTATAATCGTTGATAGGATCTTTACTAAGTGCATCAACTTTTATTTCACAAAGCTTGTTTTGGGTAAGTTTACTTAGTTGTTCTCCATTCTTATATTGTTCTGACTTAACTTTAATTTTTCCTTCTTCTTGGGGCTTTTTAGTTTGTTCATTAAAATCACTGGAGTCATTACTTCCGGAGATAAAAATTTGCTCGATGGATATATTATTGTGTTCAGACTTTAACGACAATGCCTGATTATTTTGAGAACTGGTACTTATTTGTACTTGAGCTTCGTGTTTAAATTCCCTATTTAACTTATCATGATTGGTATATTTTAGGTCCGGGATTTCATCAAAACTTTCATCATGGGGCTGGAATTCGTTAAAGATTTTATATACGCCCTTGGATTTCAAGAACTTACATACTTCTGAGTTATAAGATGAATTAACGGATTCAGGCAGACGTTTTTTAGGGTTTTTAACAGCAAGATTTTCTTGAAAACCTTTATTTTGGCTTATATTAGGCTCAAGATCATTGATGATCTTTAAATTGATGATCCAGTTTTTGTCTATTCTCATTACGATACTAAAGCCTTTATTTTCTTCTACAGGTTTTATAAAATCTACTCTTCTATCAAAGGACTTTATTATGAATGACTCAGTGGAGAAAGCATTTGACGTATGATGAGTATCTGTTTTGTTGTTTTCTTCCTTATGATTGGCATCTGAAATTTTACTAACGGGTTTATTGGTCTTATCTAGGTATTCCAACTCTAATGCCTGTATTTCCTCAAGTAAGTTATCGAGTTGTACCATGAGGGAATTCGGACCTTGATGTGCTGGTAAACTGTAACTATCTATTATTTTATTGATATCGTCGTTCCATCGTTCCTTATTATTATCTTGTCCATTCACTAATGCATTACTAATACATTCTGATTTTAATTCTAGTTGATGGCTAACTTGAAACATTCCACGAACGTTGTCCATATCGACCTTAAGAATATTAGATTTGGGCTCTTCTAGAGATGCATAACTAATGACTTCTTGGCTTTTACTACTACTAATATCACTTTCGTATTTTATAGGTGCGTTATCTGCTAATCGCTGGGGTAATATAAAGCTTGCAACGATGATAAGGAGGTTAATCACTACGAGCAAGTGGACGATATAATACGAGTCTTCTAGGATATACATTATAACTACAAGTATCACCGTACACGTTAATATATTAAATTAACTTTTCAATTTAGAATTATATTTCTATGATATATTGGCGAATTATGAATATAAATCCGACTACATAATAATGATGTCGGTTATAAAATCAAGTTATCTTTACCACGTATTCGTCTATTATAATTAATAAACTATCTAACAATGCAAGACAATTGATTGCAATCGTTAGTTACCACCGTGTTGATATTCCTTTAGTTAATAGATATGAGTATGCTCGTTATTAATTAATATCGGTATTCAGAGGCATATTCTACTAATCAATCTAGTAGCACAGTTGCGTTGAATGCTGCCGTTATAATTTTCTATTCAATCAAGAAATCCACATTATACAATTCTTCTAAAGTTTTGTCATAACAAGCAACCACAAATTGAGTCTTGATCTCACAAATTGAGTTTCTTATCTCACAGTCACCACCAAATTGTTACACCTAAACTACACCTCTTTATCGTAGTTCAAGGAACGTGCAGGTTATAGTAAGAAGACTATGACCTTGGGATTTGGTTAGATAAGGGTGTCAGATATACGACTTAACAAAAAGGTTTTACTAGGCTTTATCGAAAGAGGCGAAGCAACTAATGTATATGAAGATACAAT